ATATGAGCATTCAATTCTTAAAGGTTTAATTCTATAATCATTTTGTTTAGTTATGTAAATAAATTTAACACGACTTGTACTGTTTATCTGAGTGAAAGGAGAGCTGCGGGTTTTCCCTTTCCTTTATTCAGATTTTCAAATATGACCGCTTAACAAAAATGCACGGGCTCACTGGCTTACAACCTTGACGAATTTATATGCAGGCGTGGTCGCAAATCAATCACCCAGCTACTATTTTATGGTATGGTTTTCAGTAAGCAAAAATACTGGTATATAAGTAAAGCAAAATGTATTAACTTACGATGATGTACTCTAGGCCGTCAAGTTTCTGACAGGGATTGATCGCGATGTTTTCGCTCTTTCTTTTGCTTGCCATCAAGGTCGTACATGCACGTCACTTTCTGGGGAATAAAAAGACTTGCTGACAAGAGTTAGAGACACCCTTCCCATTCTCTGAGTAGCCCGACTTTACGCTCATAGAGCGTCTAGTTTCAATGAAAATGGGCGAATTTTCCCCCAAAAAATTAAGGGGAATTGTCAAGCAATCAGTCAAAAAAAACGTCAAGTTGTGCATGAAAATTACCTACTGAACAAGTCACGCGCGAGTGCTTGAATACCCGAAAGTTTTACAAACTAAATACTATACGGTAATTTGTTCTAGAATAAAATGCCGTATTTGTCCAATCAAAAATTGTACTTACGATTTTACACCTGTCCAATCAAAATTCAACATTGAAATTGTCAACAAATCAGAAAAGATAAAAGGTATGAGTGGGAAACAGACGGTACTGTACTGTAACCGTAATCGTACTGTAACCAAATTCTAGTGCCCCATTGGTTCACCAAAATTTTTCAGGCCAGGTCCGGTAACTGTGCGGCAACCGTGCGGTAACGGTGTCCCACTCATACGAAATCCGCTCTAAGTACGATACGGTTACGATACGGTTACGATACGGTTACGGTACGGACGAGATTCTTCATCACCATTTCCCAGTCATACGAAATCGCCTTTATGAATATTTTGCTTTCAGAAATGTTATAGGATGGACTGGGACATCGAGTATACATTTTTTTGAGTTAAAGTGAGTCAGACTGGAAACTTTGACATACAATTCGGGTGAATGATAGGCAAGGTTTTAAGTAGAATTTTTCAGAGCGTTTTGGTATCTGGCTGTAGAAGGTATATATGCCAGGTACTAGCTAGGCCTATTTAAAGTGCGGGTCTACCCGGGAACCAAAGTCATCGTACCTCTGAGAGACTCTGTGCTATTTTAATTTAGCTGCATAAAGCATCTCAAAGCGATTTGCAGTGGCGGATCCAGGGGGGTTCCATGGTATCCTAGGAACCCGCCTCGAGCATAAAAAAATATGAATGATAAATGAAATAAAATGAAAACTCGTACAATAAAAAAGTTAATTTTATAGGAAAATGTAAAAACAAAGTGGAACCCCCCTTTGAGGAATCCTGGATCCCCGATTTTATACATTTTAGCCNGTTATTACGTCTCTTTAAAATGTTATTTGCATATTTCGAACTGAATGTTACTCTCCAGTTTATTCGTGAGCAGCACATCAAGGTACAAGTCAAGAAAAATTTATTAATACACCTAAAATACTGCAGCATTTTCACTCTTGCAGTKCTTATTACTATGCAATGGAAAATACCAGAAAATTCAATGAATATTCTCAATGTAATGTTTGTAAATAAACTGATGACGTCATTTATAGCCGAACAGGTACTATTTTAAATAAAGAGTCTTTGGAAAACGAAGCGTTAGAAGATTCSACCTCCCTTCTGGATAACAGAAAGAAAAGACAAGGCATTTATCGATTTAGACTGGAATAAGAAGGGCTTATTGAAGAAATCAGAGGTTTCGTTTGGTTCTGATATTGTTTGTAAAAAGTCTGTGAAGGTAGCGAAAGACATTACAGTATGATACCAAGCTGCTCGTCGAGTTTTCGTCGAGGATCGYTAATTACACAGCTTGACTTTGACGATATTGTGAAAGTTGAACGGCAAGGTTTCTTATTTCAAGGAACAATGTGTAATGGCGAACAATCGCTTCAAGTTGTACCTGATTTAGACGGGATACGAGATGATACAGGCTTGGAGAAACACTTAACTGATTTGCATTTTACATGGCCTAGAATCGCTGTAAATATGGTCACTTCGCAGGGAGAGTCTTACCCGACTAACGAATCGTAYCCTCGCAGTCCGTTTCTTCCCAAGACTTCTATATCTGAGATTGATAACATGGGGMTTTTATCACCGTTATTTTCCCTATCAAACACAGCTTCGCCAGCTCTTAAAACTCCTTCTACTTTATACGAAATATGCTGTTCTTCACGAAAATCTTCCGATGATTTATCGATTTATCTTCCCGATAATTTTACTCCGGCCTCATTAGAGAGCTTAGACAAATCCATTCATAGGACTGTCTTTCAATTTCCTCCGACAACGTCTCGAACTTATGACGAAAATGTGTTTCTTGATCAAGACAAAAGCGGAAAAGTATCACCGACTTCAGCTAGTATTGTCAAAACACCGTGCAATTTAACCAAAGTACAGGAAGTCAGTCGAGATTCCTCAATGATAGAACAAGTCAAATCAGAAAAACTAGAGATTAAAAGGCTCGATGATATTGCTTCTGTGAAAGAGAAAAGAGCAAAAGAGAAACGCAAAAATAAAGAAGCAAAAATAAACAGCGCAAAACGAAGAAAATACAATAACAGCGAAAGCGATCAGACAAAGGAACCCTCACCGCTGCTTCGAAATAAAATGGAGAGAGATCGACGAAATGATTTAAATAACAGATTTCAAAAGCTACGRGAAAGTATGCCAGAAGACGTTGCCAAGGACAACGTGTCTAAGATTTCCATATTAAAAGCAGCGACGTCATATGTGGAAGASCTTGTCGCTCAAGAACATGAGCTTATCGAAATATCACAAACCGAGAAGAACAAAAATGAACAGTTGTTGGAAAAACTTGTAAGCATCAATCAGARTATTAAYAAGTGAATGAGAAGTCATTTTGAATTCATACCACAACTATGGGTAMCGAGTAACMCACGACTACAGCTAGAAATTTTGAGGAGCTTTTGCTTCTTTGCTTTTSAAAATACCGGGGGRAAATATATCTCTTTCATAAAGGTTTTTTGTGAGAAAAGTAACTATGACTTTGATTATTATAGCAAAATTCGCTCATCAAAGGCCTCAATAATGTTGTTTCCATTACATAGAAATCATGGTTTGTTTGGTTTAGTCCATGATTTTCGGGAGATGAGTAAATAGTCATTGAGTCATTGTAGATATTAACTTATATCAGTGATATTCGTCAAAAAGTTAATATCCACAATGACTCAATGATTATCGTTCAAGGAAATTTAGTACTTTATTGTGTCATTGAAAAGGTTTTCGCAATATAACAATGTAAAATGACTTTGAAAAATAACTTTGAATTCTCAGAACGACGATTTAAACAATTGCTTTTCAATTTTATCAAACGGCAAAGTCAATGAATCCGTAACTACAGAGACAGGGCCGAGAAAGTTAGTTTTTGTTGCCCAGTTCCTATCAGTTAGCACAGTAATATTATATATAGTGGTTTTAAGACGTAGTTTAGAAGGCCAAGGGTTCGAGTCCAAAGGGGTATTTATCAATCATAGATTTTTTTCATCAAACTTCGTTATTGAGTAAGTGATTGATGGACTCAGGGAAAAATTTCTAAATCTAATAGTCGACTTGCGAGTTTTATCTCGATATAGAAAGACACAAAGGAATCATGAGGTGTTGTGAATAATGCTTACTCGTTCTTACAAAGATAAAAGTTTTTCACGTGCGGACTGAGCTTTATGTACGGCRCCTCGTCTTGATTCTTTGTTTTGACTAGTACTGAGACGGAAGTCGAAGTCGGATATTTAATATTGCCGGAAGATACACACCAGGGCTATATCTGTTTATACAACTTTTCAGTAAAATCAGACGTTTTGATTGGTTGGCTTTCGTGTGTTATCAAAGTATAGATACACGGATTACGTCAAAACTAATTGTTTGTTGTATAGAACAGATAGATCTCATTTTTCCGTGTGTGTGTACTCTAATAGATACACAGATGACGTCAAAATGTAGAGAGAACAACAGTCACGCACTCGACTGCGTCTCGTGCGTACTTTTTTGTTCTCACTACATTTTGACGTCATCTGTGTATCTATTAGAGTACACACGCACGGAAAAATGAGATCTATTTGTTAAATATAACCCAGTTATATCTTGATATAGCCCTTGAATTCGTCATTTCAGGGAAGTATGAGATGTATAGTCCCAATTACACCAATGAAAACTGATTTATGATGAGATAATGAATACAACTTATTGCCTCTTTTAAATCCTGAAAAAAAGTAGTACAAACGAACAGTAAACGAAAACCAAGCAAATCAATATATGGATGCTTTTATAAGAATACAGAACAATTTTTAAATTTTTAAAAGATAAAAAATCAATCTACTAGGACAACAATCCATTGTGAATAAGATTATCCCGTTGGTTGTGCAGAGTGAAAGCACCAGCGTTTTTCACAGGAACTGTACAGAATAGATTTGAAAAAATGGGGACAAAGTTAGAAAACAATTGTTTCGAGGTTAATATAGCAAAAATCTTTTGTACGAAGAAGAGGCTGCTCAGTTTCAGAACCGTTTTCATCCAAATTGATCATTGTCCGCCATTTTTCGAATCCATCTACTCTCTTGTTTTTTACATAGTGTTAGACATAACCAATATTTACATTGCTAATATTGAAACGTTCAAGATCAATAAACTATTTCAACTGGAAAAGGAGTACTTTTTCACTCTAAAAATGTTCTAATGTTTTCAGTCTCCTTTCTGTCGTTATAAAAGAATCGGAGCCATCGGAGTGAGAAATGAACTTTTCACTCAGTGTCGAATCTGTGATTGATTTTAATCCGTGTAAGAACTGGGTATTCTAAATGCACGACCACATTTCGGTGCCATAGGGTGCTTTCCATTTAGGTAGAACTGGCCGGCCAGTCCACTCTATTTAGAGGCATATTATGCTTTTTGTCAACATTTTTCAGTCATTTCGAGGTTTTCTATAGAATAATGTATAGAATTTGAAAATTTGAATTTCCCGACTAAATAGGAATGATATATAATGACATTTTCTCTGGGTCTGGCCAGCCAGTTCTGACAAATGGAAAGCGCCCATATTTTAATCCGATAAGTAAACAGAAATGCTGAATTCTGATTGGCTAACGATCGAAAAATATCGCAAAACCTCGGAATACATTCGATTTATGCATATATTAAATTCTATTCTCGATCCCAGTCTTTATTCTATTGTTCCTGCCGAGTTCCGTTGATTTTGTATTTGGGGAACTGGTACTTTTGAGACGACATGAGGTTCGCACCTCTGCATACCAAAAATTCCTAAGGACGCCATCTTGCTTGAGTACAGCACCAGTTGAAAATTACTATGTATTTTTTTTCGTTGTAAGTTGTTTTATCTTTTATAAAATTCACTTTGAACATCATTTAGATCTTTATCTTCGATTTTTCGGTTTTTTTCCCGCGTTGCTATGCAATCTGTTGTTGCCCTGAACTCGACCACTGGGGACATGAACATAATGAGTTATTTGCGAATACCGCCTCGCGCATTTGAAAGAGTTCTACATCTTTATCTCGAAAATACAAGTATTACTATGGAGCACTCATATCATAGTTATGAATATATCTCGTTCTTAAAAGATTTCGGGGACTAGCGACTGCGGTTAAAACCATCCAAGGTTACTCAACGGTATCCGCACTTTGTACAAATAGCCAAGAGATCGCATCTGCAAGCAGTAAACATTGCAAATTGTGTCAAACTCGAGGACGAATTCTTGTTATTGTCAAGACGTACCTTACCCTGCGAGCAGAGTGTATTTCCTTACCTCAATAAAAATTTCCTTCGCGAATTTTTATWGAGGTAAGGAAATACACTCTGCTCGCAGGGTAGACGTACCTACGTTGGAGAATTTTTCACATCGGCGACATATCTTACAATTCTTGGCCTAGCGTGCGCATGTTCTTACGAAGAAATAGTGTTATAGACCCAAGGCATGAAATTTTCCTGTAAAGAACGTTTGTTTCTTATTTCAACATTTGTTGCAAGAGAATGCATTATCGAAACCACGGATACTGGTGGTGAATATCCACTACAACAATACAAAACATTTAGACGTGAAATTGAAATGTATTGATACAAACTGCTATACAGTGTAAGACTAGTACCGAACGCCCTGGGCCAAGCGACTATTTTGTAATATTGTCAGCCACCGGAAAGACTTTCGATATTTCCGCGCAGTCCAACGGAAATGATGTAACACTTGAACAATAGAGGACCATAGAGCGGTTTCAAGTTACTCGTTACTTCGAGTAAGTAATTAACTAATGGCTGTAATGGAGATTTTAACCGTGTTCCCCAAATACGATTTGAGTAATATTTTGAATGTAACCAGTTTAAGTAACTATTAATACAAACATTACATAATATTGAACAAAAAGTTGCAAAAGCTGCAAAATTTTGAAATTGAAATTCCCGCATTTGACGCGATCACCCAATCAAATACGTAGATTATAATCAGATTAATGACGTATCGGATTTATTTGCTAACGGCTGCTGCGCATTTCAAAGCCGAAATATGCCCAGTTCTTACACGGTAAGCCACTTGTTTGTCAATCAGTGCATGTTGCAAGCAGTTACATCATACTAAAACTGATTACATTTGAACGAATATCTTTTTTACAAATCTTTAGTGTACGGGTTGTTGCCATTTTACAGGTAACTAACAGAGGCTGTATAAACCAGGGTGGTCGTGTTTTAACGTCAGGGTTGTCATATACATAAACTGTTAGTTATATAAAATATGACTCGGCCACTYAATAGGATGGAGATAAGGATAATAAAAACGTGATCTTTACGTTTTTTTTGTGTGTATGTGTTTTATAATGTTTATAGTATTTAGAATAATGAACAGAAGTATTAAAATAACAATAATGATCATAAACAAAGACTGCTTCTTCTGCGTATAAAGGTTTTAATCTTTATTTACAAACAAATGCCTGCGTACAAAGAAATTCTGAATAATTGATCTAACAGCAGAATAAACGATACGATTCTTTATAATTAATAAAGATAAAAGCAAATTATTAACGTTTTTAAACATCAAAATATTGCATTAAAAAAAGAGATTATTTAATAGTAAAAGTATAGATAGTTTTGMAATAAGGCCGCACCAATTTCAGATAAAAAACCTTTCAGATAAAAAACATTCCAAACAGTTTTTTTAGCATCTAAATTYATGCCTTTTCTGTTGTTTAAGATAATAATAATACTAATAGACAGTTTAGCAAAATCAAAAACAAAGAATATTATGAAGTCRCGTGTTTACAGTTTTAGATTGAATCTTCAGAATGTATATTTAATGATTGTCTGGAAAAACTGTTGTAATCCATGAACAATAGCATACATTATGATTGAAAAAGAATAGAGTTTCCAGCGTAGTMCCAATTTTGAGTGAATATTATTATCGAGGTATCACTTTCAGGGAAGCTATGGCTTATTCAAGTCTTAGATATTTTACAAACTCAGTCTTTTATGTAGATGTGTCAGGACAAAAGCTTGACTTTACTTATTGGTTTTCAAGTATAGAATTTTTCGTGTCATTACTTGGTTATGTAACAATATTCTTTGTTCATCAGATTTCAATTGTAGAGTTTTTGTTACATTGATAACTAGCAACAAAAACGGGTGGCAYMCATTAAACGAACACATCCCTCTAGCCGAACACTTCATATTCCATAAACTATAACTATTWTTTAGCGTTCGYTCCAGGACTTTCAGTTATAAAGCTATTTTTAAAAAGTGTTTGAACAATACCGGTATATAAAACTTACTGAAACATTTRCCACGAATACAAATTTCTTACAAAACAATGTAGAGTGTACATCACTGCAAGAATAACATTATTGATCAACAATTAAGCAACTTAGTCGCTTTATCAACCAATAAATGGTTAAACTACACCATGATTGGRAAAACGTTTTGTCGACATATTGAATTGTTCAACATCATAGTTCTAACACGCTGTACATTTGGTTGGTAGGCTCACCACTGAGTATACATTTTTAATGTAAATCAAATTGGAACTGGCTTTGGTTTCCAACAACTTGAAAATTCAAAATTCCTGCACCATAAGATATTTATTCTTATTAAAATCTAACGGATCTTTCCCCTGACTTTTTAAAACGAAACTATCAGAGTGAGTCATAGTCCTTTTGGTTGTTTTATAACTTTGACACTTAATAACTATTTACTAGAACTTCTACCATGGAAAACCGTCCAACATTCGATTGTAGTTGTTTAGATTGTAGTTTTTTTTTTCGGTCTTTCTTGTTTCAACTTACTCGAAAGGAGAGAACTCCTTTTCACTCRCGGGATCAAATAAAAATTATTTGAAGTAAAAAAGTAACAAAAATACAATGCAATATTTCATGATTGTGTTTGAATACTAACTGAGTTGAGCAGGTTTTTCATTGATGTCAGCTAAGGGGGATGGTTCTATTCGTTTTGGGAGGCCTACGTACAGGTATGTGTAAAGAAAATCTTTTTGTGCGCGATGACTGGTGTTCTGTTCAGAATGTGAATAAACAACAAGCTAATTGATTCATCGCCTCCTAGAACAAGCGTGTTCGATTCCAGATTTACAGCAAAACATCTTGTCTAACATAGAAAATATTGATAAATTTCTTKTCCCGGGATACTTATAAAATAAAAAAGGAAAAAMRWTTMGAGTCTTGGTTTGCAGTTTGGGYCTGTGCTGTTCACTTAGGGAAAGCACATTGTTCAGGTCTGGTACAAAGCATGTTTGCCGTTCGTTCACATTTGCATTTTTCTAGCAGGTATATAAAAGTACATCGGGTGAATAGATGTGAATCATTTCAACCAGTCTTCTTGATAAACTGATTAAAGCTTACTTCAAGTAGAAATGGCTTTTGCGACAATGAGTTTTCAAGACTCGCCGCCGTATCGACCCGAAGAAGAAAGTAGTTTTTTCATTGTCCCGGACACAGAATTGAGCGTTTGGGATTCCCTTTCAMTCATGACTCCACCGCTAACTCCAGTGGATATCAGCTCGCACGACAGAGAAATCATCAAACACTTTTCAAGCCAAGACTCAAGGTGCACCACAGAGCCATTACTTCATGAAAACTTTTTAAACTCGAAAGATTTATGTCGAGGGACATCTCCTGCAATTCTTAACGACATTATGTGGAACTCTGGCCAAAAACACAAGCGACCAGACTCTGCCATGGAAATTGATGTCAGATTTAACTTAAATGGAACTCCGCTGAGTTTTGACCAGCCGATAGCTAACACAATTGTCGACAATTCGGAGTTATTTTCGTTTTCATTGCTCGAAAACTCGTGCGAATCACATCAAGAAGTAAAAAGTCCCATTGRCGTGCAAGACKCTAGTGATTCCGGTAAGAAGRAATTTTGTTTATTTCTTTGCTATTTTCACCAGTCCTTTGTCACAAATATTGTTCAAAAGAATAACATTTAGAGGAATGAATTATGTTGTTGTCTACAATTACACAACCTATAGTTAAAATAAAGTTTCCATTTACTTTTTCAGTTTTGATTAACTTGGCCCATAATTTAAGCTGAGAGAAATCAGTTTCGTGATTGAAATCTAGTGACCTTATTCTTATTGAGAAATCAAAGATGAGCCGAGACTGATAACCAACCATTGTTATGGTCTATTAGACTGCGTGTTGATACTCCAATCAGCCAATCAAAAGCAATTTCATAGAAATACTTTCATCGCACAAATCAAAGATCTTCATATTCAGAGAGTAAAATACGAATTTACAAAYGGCTACATGAATAGGACGAGTTTGTTAATAAACTAACCACCTGTAGAATTTTGCYGTCATGATGGCGGTCAGAGAAAAGCGTCTAGATAACAAGACAACAATCAATTGAAGAATGTTGAAGGCAATTTCTCTTTAAATCTGAAAAGTTTTCGCAAATATTTACTTCCAATTCTTTGAGCTGCAAAATCTTTTATAAAATATAACAATTGGTGATTGGTATAAGATAATCAGTTAACTTTCTATACTCAGTTTTCAACTATATTCAACTTTTCCATTTTTCACATCCTAGTATTTATGATATATTTGCATGCATTCAGTCTAGCAAATGAAAACTATTATATACACTGATACCTAACTGCAAAAAAGGCTGTCATATGAATATAAAAACTAAACTTTTGGGAAACAAATTTYACAAATAGATTAAATTATAAACAAGAGAAAACATCTCAAATCGAACGTGTGATGTCAATTCTGTGTTACGTATTCAACTGAGTTTCCATATTATGTTTTATTTGCAGAAGAAGAAATTGACGTCGTAAGTGTTCAAGCTGAGAGCCAAACTCCACAATGCACAGCGAAACCTAAAATWACGCTTCAGAAAATTCACAAAAAAGACGAAAATTTGACGTCAGATAGCGAAGGGGAGGTTACACGGATATCRCACAACGACCTTGAACGAAAGCGGCGAAAYGAACTACGAAATCGCTTTAACAGTCTACGAGAAAGCATTCCTTCACTCAGCAACAACGAAAAAGCAGCAAAAATAACAATACTACGAAAAGCCTATGAGCTGATTCCAGCTTTACAGAAAGAAGAAAATAAATTAGTCACAGAAAAAGAKTACCAGAGRAGAAAACACAGCGAACTTTTAAAAAGACTGTCAAAACTCAGCTCACTATTTAGATAATTTAATATCRTGTTAATTATTAAATATTTGTAAATAAACAGATTTTTTGTGAAAATAACAAGTTATCGCAACTAATCCGCTAACCCGCTATTGCCAAATTAGGTTGTTTTAACAGTGGGACAGACGTGTTTTTTCCTGTACATTATCGTTTTATAACTTTGTTTATGCCACTTTTTATTGAATCTAAGTATTTGTTGAGAACATTTTACGCATAGAATATATAATTGAACTTTGTCAAAGAGTTTTTAAACGAATGCATTTAAAAGCGCAGTAGATGTAAATAAAAGCATTGAGCAAATGGTTTTCACACTTCTTGTACAAAAAGTTTCTTACTAAATTTCACATTTAGTTTCCTCATTGATTAACATTCATGGATTTCATTTTGATGTTATATTTTTCAAAAATAATCCAAAGTAACCATGAATACTACATACAAATACAAGCTTTCTATAGTTTATTGTCATTGATTAAGACTTCGTGATTACAACTAATAAAAATCAAAGCCGCAAGCTGYTGAAACTATTTTTTKKGGGATGCTCATTCTTGAGCAAATAAATTCAGTATCGATCAAAGCAGCATATTTTTTCTTGAATCATACAATAGTTTATTTGAAAAAATATACTTATGTAGCTTGTTTGAAAGCGAAGCAGATTACTACGAACAGGTCATTTTTTTCAATACAAGAAGCACTAGTGAACTTCAAATGGATTGGCTTTTTGTTTGTTCGCCTCTTTGCTTCTGAACATTGACTATATAAGAAAAAAAAGCATTTAAGAAAAATTGATATACAATGAACAAACACTGAACTTCTTCGATCTTATTTAGCTTTTCCGAAAAGCGAGTCGCTCAAATTTGATCGTACTATTAGCATACTCGTGACTATATATTCTTCTAAACTTTCTAGCTTCTGGAGTTTATTATAATGATGGCGAAAAATTAAATTTATTGAATGCACAACTTGAAAATAGCAACGTTTAATCGAGTGTGGTTATGGAAAAAAAATTGAATTCAATGCCGTCTCTGCTTTTGACGTCTGGTGCTGCTAAGGTTTTCGTTGTAAATTATCAACAAAAAATTCGTCTTGACCACAATCTTTACCTATAAATAACACGTGATTGAGATGCAGTGGTCGACGGGACGTCTATCGTCCGTTTTTTTTCGGTATTTAGTCTGGGAAGCTGTTGTTATCATAACACTTCAAAGTTGACTTATATCTTTCTTATACTTGTCGATATTTGCTCTACCATCGTGAATACCACTCGAATTTACCCAGTTCATATCTATTGGTTTAACGGCCTTATATTTAGGTAGGCAATATGAAGAAAATCCTTCAGCTCTATAACTGATTTTGGAATCCAAAATGGCGCCATTACACCTTRTTAAGCGTATTGTAGTTTATATTGCAACCATAACTGGGATAAATATGATAGTTCACGAGCTAAAAGCTTTACTTTTGTGAACACGATCACCGATGCACTTGCAAGAATACAATAGTTTCATGCTATATGTGTCAATCTATCATTAAAAACGCTTCATTGGTTTTCTTTCAGGCTATTAATCGTTAGTGTTTGTTTAATTATTGTCGTTCGTTAGCTGTTCACCTGTGGCGGGTGGGGACTGGTACCACGTGTTGTGCATCGCCAATGAATCTAGAAATACAATGTAAATTTAATATGAAATTTGTGAAAATTGCTACATTCACTATGAGAGCATAAAAGGGGGAATTATGTATTATGTATTCCAATAAACGAGCTCGTAACAAGCTCTAATTGCTTGTAAGCTAATAACCCTTGACGTTCAGGATTGGATCATCAAATGACGGTCCCGAGATGTTTACTGAAATCGCAGATATAATAAAATAAATGTTTTAGTTCTCAAAATCCAGCATTTGTGTTTAGATCATGATTGCACCAAATATATCAGCAAACAGCGACGAGAATGTTCGTCTTATACGAGCAAGCGAAATCTAAACTATAGTTTTGTTGTTAGCAATCTTTTCCGAGTTTTTTGATGATACTGCATTTTTCTTGTTTAAATTATTTCTCATTTATTATTTGTAAAAAAGAAACATGGTAAGWAAATTTTATCAAAACAAAATGTACTCAATGATCTGCTTTATGATTTTTTATTACAAAAAATGTTGACATAAGATTGCATCATTGCTCCATGCAATGATTTGGAATGAAACAGTATTTTGCAACCGACCGTTAGAGATTTCGGCAAACACACACGCATTGCCCACGTATTTCAAGAAACCAATACAGTAACAATTCAAACTATCATGAAGCTCACATCATAATCCCGTCTGAGTTTGGACAGCACTGGCAATTTTTCTTCACTTTTTTTCACCTTTGCAAGGACTGTTTTCTTATCTTGATATAAATTCGCGGATTAACACGTAAAAAATATTGCATTGAACCTTTTTTAATGCGAAACAGTTTTTTAACAGAAAAGAAAGACACTTATAATGCTTTAGGGAATGTATGGGCATGCGCATGAACAAATTTTTTCATAATTAAGGGACTGT